TTGGCCAATGATATCACATTGAACCGTTTTAGCAATAATCCATTTTTTGCCTTGTTAATGACAGCAGGCTGACAAATTGAGTTACTGAAACAGAGATGTCTCACAGAACACATCCATACGAAATTGCTGCACGTTTACGGAGAGTAAACAATAGATGTGAGCACAGTTAGACAGGTGGACAATGTATTGAGGCAATGGTATAATATGATGTAAAAAAAAGGAAAGATTTGAGCAGATAAAATAATTGTTGATTTAAGAAATCTTTTTACTGACTGTGATGTTGAAATTTATTGTTTCGCATTTAAAACAATGCTCTTTCCAATTTTCCATTTTGCTCTTTGAATTTTATAGTTTAAATATTAAATAGTATTAAATGAATAAATGTAATCGCTTTCTGAATATCCTTATATATATATATATATATATATATATATATATATATATATATATATAGGGTCCGATGGATAAATTGTCGTCTAAAGTTACGCAAAGAATGAAAATAACACTCACATCTCATTTTAATAGATGTAGTTACCAAAATTAAACAAAAATATCTTGAAATACTAAAGAGTAAATTTATACAATAAAATTGTCATTAAAGTCAACCACTAACTCCAGATGACAATGCAATCTCCTGCAACTCTTCTGGACGGTCTCCTTGTTTAAATTGGTGAATGCTGCCATAATCTTTGCCTTCAGTTCATCTTTGGTGTTACAAGGAGTCTTATTGGTCTCTCGTTCAACTGCAGCCCACACATAATAATTAAAGGAGATGCAGTCTGCGGAATTAGGTGTAAGTGGTGATGTGATCGCAGGAATTGCCTGACAGCCATGACTGGGTTCTCCTGCTTGTGTGGCATGGTGCAGAGTGCTGTTGTCAGACATAGGGTCTTCCAGCAGCTGCCCCTTGACTTAGAGCAACACTACCTTCTCAAGGCATTTGATGTAGGCCCCCGTCTTGAGTCTGAGGTCCTGTGGGAAGATGAATTAAAATAATCATTATCACTACTGACCACACCAAACACCTTCGTAATCGCCAGTAGACCTTGCACTGTCCTCAGATTGACACCCAATCACTCTGAAATATTAGTATTGGAGCTTCCGGCGCGAATACCAAACAGTACAGCATGCCGTTACCAAATTTCTGGCAGAGTGAATTGCGTCATGTTACTCTTTCTCACACAGACCCCACTAAACTGTGCAGTTGACAAAATAAACACTGCGCATGCGCAAAATTAAAAATATAAAATTGCAACAATTTACCCATCGCATATATATACTAAGCGTTAACATACACAGAGCGAGAATATTTGAACACACACAATACACATTTGGGAAAATCATAGAAAAAGTGTAGGTTGAAAGAATAAATCAATCTCATACACTAGTGGCTGTTTTCGGTGCCTCATGCTGGTAATTTTTGATCCGAAAAGTATGGTACATTTCTTACTGCGTCATATATCTTGCCCATTCATGACATTGCTGATCACGGCTCTTCACAGGTTCCTTTCCTTTATTATCTGTGCGTTTCTGTGGCTTTATGGGAAAGATAGTATAGAGGTTTCCCGTTGTATATTCCACAGCTTGGAATTCAGTTTGTTCGTGTCTTAAACTGGTTACCGCAAAAGGGCTAGAAAACACAACCAATCCGGCTATTTAAGAAAGAATCGCAAAAAATAAGGAATTCTATGTGCGTGTCGCAGAATGGATTTCAGCACGGTGAAATCGGTGAGTCGAATTTAAGTTGCGTACACTTTTCACTATTACCGTTGAGAAAAATACGAATCCATTTCTTCACTCGCCTCCAAGATATTAAATAACAGGGTAGACTGTACTCTTTATCTTTCACTCGTACACAATCTTGGAGAATTCTGAATTCGAAACAACATATAATTCAATCCAAAACCAATTAACTGTCAATCCTAAGAAGGTAAAGCAATCCTTTGATAATTAAGAACTTTGCGCGAAGAGACAGAGAAAAACAATGCATGGCCTATGTAACAAGAATGTTAAAATGGATGGAAGAACAGGATTTAGGAGATGGTTTGGTTTATTTTGTTTTATGGTATATAAACCTCAACGGCTTATTTTATGCTTTTTTTATTAAAAGAAATTGGTTTTTTAAAAAAAATAAAATTTTCAAGTTTTGCAATGAATAAATAAAAAGATTTTTTAGAATAAATTTATTTTTTATTTTGTTTTAGATAAATAAATCCAACTTATTTTATCTAAAAAGATTTTACTAGAATAAATTGGTTTGGTTTATTTAAATAAAAGATATGTTGAAGCTTAAATAAGCATGGAATAATACAACACAAAATGTACGTTAACAAAATGTATTGAAACAAAGAATAGGTACACAATATTTACAGTTAGTTTGGTATATTCTTGGGAAGACTGTTCCTGCATAATGGGTTGACTAAATCGCAGTCGGGCAGAGTCTCTGGATTCAATTTCTTAATCTACTATCTTCCCCGTCTTCCGGTACCAACCCATATTTATATGGTCGGTAGTCCGCTTATGTAAATTAGGTGTATCATACACAACAGTATATAAACCTCAACGGCTTATTTTTATGCCAAAAAGATTTTATTAGAATAAATTGGTTTGGTTCATTTTGTTTTACGGCATAAAAACCACCATGGTTTATTTAATGCCGACAAGATTTTTAGGACAGATTTGTTTTCTTATTTTGTTTTACGGTATATCAACCTCAATGGGTTATTTTATGCCAAAAATATTTTTTAGGATAGGTTCGTATAATTAGAATATGTATTCTTTGTAAGAGATCATTTTGTAGATCAGGTTTCATTGACATATTTTTGTAAAGACAGTTTTTGTCGAAAGGCAAATATATTGCTGATAATATTTTTTCTTCAAAAATCTATTACTGGTAATATTTTTATTTCATAAATCTATTTTTATATTTTCATAGTGTTTTGACCCCACTTTGGTGAGTTAACTATTTTGCCCAGAGCTAGGACCCTAACAGGTGCTACCACCCTGATCCAGAGTAAACTTGGGATAAATAAAGAGGCTCCTGAAAACCTCCCGAGCAGAGGCCTTGCTGCCGGATGTAGTTCATCGTCTTACTCAGGACGGGCTTTAGGAGAAATGGCAAAAAAGCAAAATTTACTAAGAGCTACATTGGACAGGAAATTGTGGAGAGCAATGATCTCCAATATCCTGAAAACAACATATTAGAAGAAGAATCAGGAGGAAGGGGATAGAGGAACGAAGAGGAGGCTAGAGGAAGGAGGAGGAGGATAGAGGAGGAGCAGAAGAATAAGTGCGGAGCTATTGTCGCTGACCTCGTGAAGAGAAATAAAATTGAAAAACTTTTTTTCCGTATATTAATATTATTATACCTGAATTTTTTAATTTCTGCTTAACAAAAGAACACTCGGAACTCTACACATCTCTCATCCACAGTCTTAAATATAACTGTATTCATGGCGCACACCCGGACAAGGCGCATGTTATTTTATTTTATTATTTTTTTTTTTGTCATATTTCCAGGAATTTCAAAGCTATTCTCCGCTGAGTATCTATGAGGATTTTCTACCGTAACATTTCCATGACATTCATCAATAAAACCTTTGTGAATATCAGAAGTCTGGAACTCTAAACCAATATCCACCTGGAGTCAATTTAAACTGATACCTCCTTTTCTTTCAATATATCTAAACAATAATTAGATATTTGTAATTTTCGACAGGAAAAATTTCACCGAAATATACAGAAAATTATCAACATTTTCCTCTGAAATCAAGAAAATACGAAGTGTTAACAAACTGACCAGAAAATATAAATAAACAATGCTAAACTGACGCCAGAAAGATATTTTTATATACACTAAAATTCACTTAATACAAGTCATAAGAGCAACTCATGGCAAATGGTTAGAGTCGCAATCACAATGATAAATAAATGGATTGCTATAAATGAAAGCCAAGGTGGTAGAAATTGGAGATTAAGAGCATAAGAAAGATAAACAATTATTAACCTTTGTTTTGATAAGTTTAATATTCCAATATTCAATGATGCATAAGAAAATGTTAGTTTTCACGAAAATGCTATCTGAATAGAATGTTCCTCTTACATATTGAACACAGGGAAATGAGAGTAATCCCACACCGCAGAAGTGGCATGGTGTGCCTTATTTTGTAGAAAAAATGGAAACCATCTGAACATTTAGCTAGGCTTGCAACATTGCATCTGTGTGAATGAGGTTGCAAAGTAAAAATGAGTTAAAGATATAATTACATAAAAGACATTATAATTATTTCTATTGTGCACAGATAATCATTAATATTAGGTTTGTCGAACAGGTAAGAACAAAAGGTTGGTAAGCTTTTGAACGAGAGTTTTTTTGTTTTTTTTTGTACCGAACAATTAATATGCGATACATTGAAATAAACCATACTTATTTGATGCCCTTACCCGCAGAATTGGTATTGTATTATGGCGTTAAATATTCCACTTTCAACGTGGCTCCATTTCCTTTTTCGGGCATTGAAAATGGCGGCAAAATGTACAATATGTCTCATGTAAAAATATGACTGCTCTATACTGCGATAAGACGTGTTACTCACTGCAAGATGGCTTTCGTATAAATGGCTGCTTTATTTTCAGTTTCATCGGAAGGCACATATTTGAAAGGGAATACAATATATTGTAATTGTCACAGTAATTCCACAATGGAAAATCAATGAAGACAAAAATACAGGATTACGAGAAGGGTGTGATGTACCCCCCCCCCGAACGATAAAAATAGATAGATAGATTATATAGGATAGATAGATAGGATAGGATAGATAGGATAGATAGATTAGATTAGATTAGATAGGATAGATAGATTAGATAGGATAGATAGATAGATTAGATAGGATAGATAGATAGATTAGATAGGATAGATTAGATTAGATAGGATAGATAGATTAGATTAGATAGGATAGATAGATTAGATAGGATAGATAGGATAGATTAGATAGGATAGATTAGATTAGATAGATTAGATTAGATAGATTAGATAGGATAGATAGATTAGATAGATAGATAGATAGATAGATAGATAGATAGATAGATAGATAGATAGATTCGATATGGCACCAAATCGCAATAGTGCGCCACTTAATTATGAGACAATAGGAATTGCTTTTGAGATTTAAATTCCAAAAAAACACTCTAAACCTATTATATAATTGTGAACGTTTTCTTAATGCTTCAAGATCTCTTCAGCACGCAGGTGATCATATCTCTTCCGAGATACAATTCTTAATATCTTTGAATTGTCATGAGTAGGAAAGCTGCTGGAATGGTTTCCGGTTACCATCTTCAAGGTTTCAAATTCACAGTAATTATTCTCATGAACTGGATGTCACACAAGACTAGAAAGTTCAGCCTATTCTGCAACTGAAACCAGAACCGTGGAGGGAATAAACACATTCATATCTTCTCCAAGGTAATTAGTACGAAAATGTACGCAACAAACGAGGCTGCATTTTGAACACTGCTCACGTATTTCATTTTCTCTCTCTCTCTCACTCCATATATATATATATATATATATATATATATATATATATATATATATATATATATATATGGGGAGAGAGAAAGAGAGCAAGTAATGTATTTTTCTATTTTAATCTAACAGGTCTCTATCACTTTAAATGTTATTTGTAGTGGATACTCGTATTTGAGTAGACGCTCTTTTTTTTATGAAACAGTAGATTTATTTAATTTCGTCCATCGGCCTGACTATTCGTAAAATCTTATCAAAGAAAAATATACGCTCTTCGGCAGGATTCGAACCTGTATCCCTCCCGGGCAGAAGGAACCGTCGTTAGATCCGATGGACTCTAAACCGAATAAGCTACGATCCATTACTTCTTTAGAAAATCACTTCTTAATAAAACGGCATTTTCCAAGTAAACCTTATCATCATGGTTTCGGTCAAGTAATTGTGCATTGTTTCATTTTAACCCATTCTTTTCATTAGATTTCATAATGTTTCGACAATGTATTCCCAGAGTCATTGTTTACATCCTATTTGGTAAGCACTTGTGTCAGATGTAAAGTTAATTCATTGTTTTCATTTGATTCGATTTTTAATTATTTTAGAATTGTTTGCGACACTTTTTATATTGAAATTAGCGAAATTTATCCAAACTTTATTACTTATGGAATTTGTAGGTACTTTTTTTTAGTTTTGTTTTTATATATTCTATTCTTTTTTTTTTTTTTTGGTTTTGTTGTTTTTGTATGCTTTTCGTTTAGCATTTTATCTGAAACAACCGGGGCAGAGAACAGAGAAGTGCAATTGTGATGTTTTGATGATAGTAAACATTCTCGGGCGAATGAGAGATATGTATGATATGTTTAAAGATAGGACAATGAAGACCAATTATCCCTCATTCATATTTTAGACTTTCTGCTATATTAGTTTAATCTATACGTAAATATTAATATATTTGTAAGTTCGTTAAGTAGAAAAAAAAGAGTGGATGGGCGCTTAGGTGGTTTTTCACACTAAGCCAATGTATATATGTATATGTCTATTCACACTAAGCTAATGTATGTGTATATGTCTATGTATGTTTCTTCGCCAGTCAGATATTCAAGGTTGCAGATTCTAAGGCTATTAAATAAAAAAAATTGATTATGTCAATATGGGATACAAAATTATTAAGAACTACGTTGATGTTAGTAAAATCTAATTTTAAAAAACATACAATTAAATACAGTGATAGATAGATAGATAGATAGATAGATAGATAGATAGAGATAGATAGATAGATAGATAGATAAAGATAGATAGAGATAGATAGATAGATAGATAGAGATAGATAGAGATAGATAGATAGATAGATAGATAGATAGATAGATAGATAGATAGATAGTGAACAGCCCAAGATGCATAATGAACAGACAGATAGATAGTGAGAATAGATAGATAGATAATGAACAAAGTGAGAATAGATAGATAATGAACAAATTGAGAATAGATAGATAGATAGATAGATAGATAGATAGATAGATAGATACGGTCTCCTTGTTTATGTTGCCATAATCCTTACCTTCTGTTCATCTTTGGTGTTACAACTGTGACTCACATATCAAATGGGGTTTTATGAAGTCAAAATCAAGGGTTCTATGAATTCAAAATCGAGGGTTTTTACGAACTCAATATCAAGGGGTTTTATGAATTCCAAATTCTTACATTTTTTTTTTTTTTACAATTTTTGTGAGTGATGATAATAACATTTTTCAAATTCCTCGATGAATATTTACAATGAAATAAAGTATTTACGAAACAAATAAATAAAGATCGTTAGTGTTAGAGATCATAACCAAGTCTAATTGGGACTGCAGTCACGGCTAACCAGTCCAAAAAAATATGCTGGATTTAAAATAGCAAAATAAATCACTCATCGAAACATGCACTCATTGAAACACAATAGCAAATACGAAAAAAAATAATTATCAAATACAAAAATATGGCAGAAAAAAATTTGCTACAGAAAGTTCGGAATGCAAAATGGTCGGAATGCAACGTGCCTTATCAGAATTCACGTCATGTTTATTCTCATAGTTGCAGCTCTATCATTGTAAGTGAAAGGTTATTTTGGAAGGGGTTGTCCTACCCTGAGTTAGTGAAAGAAACCTCTCTATATATCATCATTTTTTAAAAGGTAACATTAAATTCTCATTTAATAATCTTACGATTACGTGAATTATAAATCAGCTTAGCGAGAACGGCGTGCCACTTCCTTCTCAAGGAACTTAAGAATTCTTTGAAGTAAGGATGTTCTTTCGGTAGCAGATCTAGTGTCAATTCTCCAGGTGGCTAAATCGTGTTGCCTGTCACTGTAACAAAAATCTACATTCGAAACCTGCCGTTTCAAATTTGATCTCGAACAACGGTTGGGAACTTTTTTGTTTGTTTTTTTTATTTAAATTTCCCCCCTCTCCACCGGTTCTTTAACGTATATGAAGAAAAATGGATTTTCATAATTGACACGTTTCAAAAAAATCGACTTCACTACCGGCAGTGAGCATGCCTGAACGCCATCGCTTTTCAAAATCGCTCAAATGAAAAACAAGATAAACAAACTCAGAGAAAGGAAGAAAAAAAAATCAATAAGCGTGTAAATGGCGTTCGATCGAACTTAAAAGCCAACGAAAATCACACGGATAGAAAGTTTTTAATGGCGCCGAAGAAGTGAATAAAGACGGTGGCGGGGGTCGAAGAGTGCATGGAAATCTCTGTCAAATCGTACGAAAATGTGCTTTCAAGGTTTAGATTATCGGAGAATATTTACAAAGAACGGTAACGCGAACATTTTGCGGGTCCTGTTTCAAATCGAAGATATATTTGGAATCGGACCAAGAAAAATCGATCAACAAACCTGCCTTCCTTTCGGTAGGGGATGGATTCTTAGCAACAGAGTGAGTCGTGCACGTGTTTTTCTTTTACTGCTCAGTTTCGCGGTCTTAATGTTGAGGATATGAAAAACGTGCCACAGCCGATAGGAGAAACAAATGACCGGATACAAGCGGTATTTAAAAATGGCAGAAATGACGAGATAAAATGCACATCTACCTTAAAAGATGAGAGATCATACTGTTGCCGAAATAATAGAAACTAGCTTGATTTTGAAAATGCAATGTTGAGAACAATTCATCATCACTCGCGCAATTATATCTCATTATTACTCTCGCATATATATATATATATTGGATTAAGGAATCGCAGAGCCGAGTTCGAATTCCAGTCGAATTCATTACATTCACTTACGTGCTAATACCTTGAGAAAGGTATGAATCCTCTTCTTCTCCCTCCACTATGGGTAAAATAACAGGACAGACTGGGTTCTATAGCCTTGGATGGCAACTGGTCTAGGAGAAGGACAACTCTGAATTCAAAACCTGCGGAGGGTCGTTTGGGAACTTTGTGGCACTTAGTGCACCAGGTCTCTGTATTCGTTCAAAAAGTGTGGATGGTCCTGCACGAAACCTTCACCACTATAATCAATTCTCATGTGTCGTTGTCGGGCTGTCGGTTTCCTGAAACTGATCTGCGTGGCCCTCATGCGTCGATGTCGACTATATATATATATATATATATATATATATATATATATATATATATATATATATATATGTAAATTCTAACGATCACAGTGTAAATTCAAAAGAGGGCTTAATAGCGATAGAAGAGCAATAATTATTTATCAACATTTTTTTCATATAGACAAAAACAATTTACTCGCTACAAAGATGCAACCTTATTTCGGGTATTTCGTTGCACCTTGACTAGTAGGAATCAAAATTTTCGTTCTCACCATTCGAGATGAGTAAATTGTTTTTCTGTATATGGAAAAATTATATATATATATATATATATATATATATATATATATATATATATGTATATATATATGAAATGGATTAAGTCTGAAAATTATTTAATACATTTTATGTTTATAAAGGTAACAAGTAACACTAATTCGGACTTTTCTAACCAGGTACTTCTTTGTGGCTGAATGGCTAACAGCATGTCAGATCAAATTAGGATTACAGGTTCGATACCTCTCAGAGAGCGCATACTTTCTACCAAATTTCTTGAATATTCAGACTGGTAATTGTAATTTTTACTGTTTATTTAAAAAACTGGGTATTTACTTAAATAAATCTATAAAAATAACGTACAAACCCAATATATATTAAATACTTATCAGAGTTAATCCATGTCATTATATATAAGATTATATGACAGTTAATTTCGCAAATGAATTTCTGCAATTAAAGAAAGAGGAAGTTCTATATTGTAATAGTATTTGTTATGTTTTCCAGCTATAGGTTAAATAGTAGGTGTCGTATCGATAAATCATTATTAACGTCAAACAAATCTTACATTCTAAAAATTATTTTCTGCATTTAAATAACCTGGAAAAGATTGCTAAGCCATAAAAACAAATCAATCAACCTCTTTCTCTCTCTCTTGCCCTCACTCTCTCTCCTCTCTCTCTCTCTCTATATATATATTTATACACACAGACACACATACACACATATATATATATATATATAATAATATAGACATATTGTGTCTACTTATCCTTAATTTTGTCTGATCCTTTCCAGTTATCTAATCAGTTTCTTCAAATTCTCGAGGCCTTCTTTATCAAAAAGAACCAAGCAACATTTAACAATATTTATTAGAAATATAGTAACAACATATTAAAGTGATACAACATTTATATACTAATATCACTTTACGTTTATCCCAATCCCCGGACAGCACCCTTATATCGAAACGCTTGTTTTGTAAAAGAATTCCATAATTACGGCAGATAAATTTTAAATTTTCAAAATAACTATAACAGAGCGCGTTCGATCGCCTTTTTAAGAATCACTATGACAACGGAATGCAGATTTTACTACAGTTAAAATATCATTTTTCTCTTTGTAATTTACACCCGAAGATGATCTTCGAAAAGGTCGAAAGTGCTCGGGTTAAAAAAAAAAAAAATACAGCGCCTTCCTTGATGAATTTCATTTTAACTTCATGGAACTGATTAGACAACTGGATAAGTATAAAAAGTAGACACAACATATATATATTCAACATATATATATATATATATATATATATATATATATATATATATATATATATATATATATTCAACGCCATCATCTGATAAGACACCAGAAGTGTTGAAACAAATAGCTGTTTTTGTAGTGATTTTATATCTTTATGTTATAAGTTTCGAATAAATTATATATATTATTTTGGTTGAGCTATGGTGGGGGAGAAAGTGTGATTTTCTAAACAGTGACTATTACTGCTACTAATGCAATACTCTTCGACAAAACGGGTTCTCTCAGTCACTGACGTGTTTATGTAAAAGTAAATACGCTTAAATTTACATTCATCCCTGCTCTCCGCCAACGGCTTAGAGGCAGATTCTCCGACTGACGCCAATTCAGCCGGGTTTCGATCCTAGCTAGAGGCAGCCTGGCGTCTTGCCACACTGATGAGGTCGTGTGATACAGCGAAACAGTCTGTCTATGAAAGAATATATATATATATATATATATATATATATATATATATATATATATATATATATATAATTTAAAATATTAATTTAAAAAATATAATTTAATTAATAATAAATATTAAAAAATATTACATAACTATATAAACAATAAAAAATAATTTAATTTTAAAGAAAAAAATTTAATTTCGAAGAACAACTTTGCAACAGGAAGAAAAATCTACAGCTGAAAAAATGAAATACGTAAACAAATGCAAAATTTCAATTTTGTGCACGTTTAAAAGAAAATTAAATTCATGAATACGCACGTGTACACAACGGAGTTAAAAAGCGGATTGAAAAAGACGCAGAATAAATTTTGAAAAATGAAAAAAAATATAGGAAATACCGTTTAAAACCACAAGCCCTGAAGACTGAAAATTTTACCAAGAAACATCGATGTCGGGATAAAATTAAATTTTAAAAATTAAAATTAATTTTTAAAAGTTAAGTAATATTTTCATATAATATTATGTGTGTGTGTGTGTGTGTGTGTGTATATATATATATATATATATATATATATATATATATATATATATATATATATATATATATATATACACACACATTACGACATTTAATAAGTTCTCGCTGTTTTCCAACAGATGGCGTTCCCAGAACTGCGTGTGTTTAGTAATGCATCTATAAGTAATTACAAAAGCAAGCTTGAAATTCCGTGTATGTTATTTCGCCGAAGTGTAAACAACTTTGTTCTTCATAGCATTAATCATGTCGGATTCCGTGATTCTAGTGTATCTGCGAGGAATTTTACTGCACTACTTTATTCAAAAGAATTCTACAGTTAAAGCACAAATAATTTTTGTTGACACAATGCTCTGTCGGAAACATGCAGCGATTGGTTTAAACGCTTCAAAAATAATGATTACGATGTTGAAGATAAAGAACCTTCTGGCGCACCGAAATAGTTTGGAGACGAAGAAT